CAGATGATAAGCGTTCAGTTATGTGTCCTGGGTGGCATAATCAGATGATTTTTCTGATTTCATCAGCATGGATTCTCAGTGACTGACACAGATGTGTAATTCTACATTTATTAGGGAGGGAAGGGGAAGTGTTGCTGCTAGACAGAATGTTCTGGGAGGCAGTTTTTCCACTGTGTGTGTTTTATCATCTTCTTTGAATCAAGTACTCCTCCCTTCTGCTTACGGTTGTTTTTTGACCCTTTTGTTCTGTTCTGGCTTAGTCTTATATAGTCATTGGAACATTGTAAATGAGAAGAGGAAGAAGGCAGCACTTGCAGTTGCCTGTTTCAGATTAATTTTGCCTGATTAGCTTTTCTCATTAGGTTTTGGGATAGTTCCTCATCACTGAGCACCTTTCATGTGCTAATGGTGAAGTCTCAGAACACTTGTCTGTGAGGGCAGTCTGGTGAGAATTTCTGTAGTACACCACTGTATAATGGTCATTTTCTGTGACATGTTTGCACTTTTCTTGAAAATGTCTGGTGATGGGGACTCCACAGCCCCTCCAAGCTTAATTTGCTTAGTAACATTTATTTTTGTAACATTAGTGTAGGAAGAGAATTTACATTAAATTCTGATTGTCCTATCTTCAGCTGATGTAAAGAATCCTTTTGCTTTGCCAATATCCCACAACATATTTAATGGTATTTGAAATCTATTTTCATTCTTATCTCTAAACAAACCTGACACTGGTTTAGGTCTCTGATTCTCCTCCTCTGGATTTCTTTGCAGTTGTTCATGCTACCTTTGTTTTTGTCCAGTTCGAATACAGCAGTGAAGCTGAAGCACTACTGCTGAGTTAAATGAAAGGGTGATCCTGTGCCAGATCCTGTGCCAGTAACTCCCAGTTACCTCTTTCTCAACAACGTGCTATTTTCATTTTGTGTACTCAAAACACACATCCTTTCCCACCATACAGGGAATTTTAGCAATTGGCCTCTTCCTGAGGGTGGTCTTGAACTCATTACCATTCTGCTGCATCCTAGTCATTTCAGGCCATTTTTTCAACTTCTCAAGACAAGCATGGATTCTGGCATTCTTGTAACCTTGCCAGATTGCACTGGCCTGAATCTCAACACACACATTCTTTTCCTTCCATCTTCCAGGTTAATAAAAGTGTCAAATGCCCTTGGATCAAGGGCATATCTCATGGAAAAAGTGTGGAGCAAAGAGTTTCAATTTAGCTAGTAAAAATCCCTAATGACTTAAGATATTTTCTGTAGTTTTACATGAAGCTAATAGTAGATTTCTCTCATCCATTTTTTTCAGTCTGGACCATTATAACCTGTTTGAGTGTCATACAGTAATGTAAGAATTTTGTTAAAGTCAGTGTGTGACATATGTGTCTCCCCATCCCCAAGGCTAGTTGTCTTGTCACAGAAGAAAATTAAATTGGTGTGATTTCTAGTTGAAAAAAAATCTGTGCCACCTCTTTATTTCCTACCTTTGCTTTGATGTCTACAGGTTCCCAATTTTCAGGAAATGAAAGTTCAGGTCACTGGTCTTTAATTCCCCAACTTCTTGGTTCACACCGTTTTTAAGATTGTCATTGCCATTTAGCTTCTTCCAGTTTTCCTGGAATTTTTTTCAGGTATCTTCTACGAATAGTAAGTTTTAAAAATTACTGTTAGTGACTCTGAAATTTGTCCTGCTGAGGTATTTTTCAGATCAGCTCATATAGGTACTTTCTAATCTCCTCTATTCGTACAGTTCTTTGTCACTCACTAGTCATCTAGCTCACAGTTGATCTTCAGTGACAACTGAAGGGGACAAAAAATAGGAACAGGTCTCCAGGAACAGGTCTGCTGGCTATCTTTCCTTTTTGTGGAATAGCAAATTGATCCAATTTGGTCTTCCTCTTACTAGCACTGTACTTGTAGAATAATTTCTCCTTGACTTTGATGTCCCTTGCTTTTTGTCTCCTTTGCTTTAACCTTTCTGATTTTGGCCTGACACTCTCCTGCTGTTCCTTTATACCCATTCATAGTAATCTGACCTACTTTCTATTTTCTTAATGCTGCTGCTGCTTCGGTAAAGGAAGCTTCATTGTTCTTTTACAACATTCTGTCTTCTGCCTTGGAAGAGTTTGTGCTTGTGCTTTGATAGCATTTCCTTGAGGAAGTGCTAGTGCTGTTTGTGTAGATGTGAGTCTTGTAACCTACCAGTTTTCTGTGTTTATTGAAATATCTCTTCTGGCCTAGTATTTTTGTTTGGTTATTCTTTATTATTTACCCAGTATTCTGAAGTTTTTTATTTCATAGTCATTTCTACCAGTGTAAACTTCTGTCTTGTTTTCAATCAGTTTCTTCTCTGTAACCTCTTCCTTCCATTTCTTTTTGTGGTTATATGTTTAAGGAATCCAGTAGCCTTTATGGATATCTTTTTGTTTCTTTGTCTGTCTTTCTTGTCTTTTGTTTCAGGAGTTAAAATTATCACTAACAGTAAAATTCAGTGCCTGAGATGATTCTGCTAATTGCCAAGAGCCCTGTGAAACCAGATCTTCCTGGGATTGTACTTCTTACACACATACTGGAAGTGTTCATGCTCAGTGTTTCCTTTTCAGTCCATAGGCATGTTCCATATTCAAGTGCTCCCTCACTCGGTGTTTCTCTCTGTAGAATGTACCTCACAGCAAGCAGATGGGTTCTCTTTGCACAAAGTGCAGTGCCTTCTCTGCCCCTTCCTTGCCTGAACAAATACAAATACTTTGTTTATTCCAGAATGAGAACTGGCCTGCCACATTTTAGAAAGCACAACATTCAATAACCTAATTCAGAAAGCATGAAATCCAGTTCATTTTTGTCATTATTTTCTTGATGCTCTCTTTTGTGTTCCTCTGTAGATGGAATGAGGATTAACTTAGCCTTATGGCAGTCATTGAGGTAGTGACCTGTTGTTCCTTTGCAATTACATCTTAACCAAGAATGATGACAGATGAAGTGCATATCCCTGAAAAAACATGTTCCTAGAGAGAGTAAATGAAACACACAGAAAGTGGAAAATCTCTGTAAAGTGATCTTTGAAGGCCTCTCTGGTTCATGTGGGATTTGTGGCAGATAAGTTTGAGGCAGTCACTTTTCAGAGTTACTGCAGACTTGAACCATGAGTAAGGAGTTTGGTTAGCATATTCCTCAGTAAATAGTAGCACAGCTAAGACTCAGATCTGCAAAAACATTTCCGTCTCAACAGCTTGTCTTGGGATGCTAGAGCAATGGAGCTCTTGCTCTCCCCTCCTTCCAGGAGATGTTTGGTGAAGGCTGTCTCATGGCTCTGTTATGTCAGCCTGTTTCCATAGATTTAGTAATCTGTGAAAGTTTCACTCTGTATTGTTCAGGGGAAAGATGACTGGGAATAATAAATGTCATTTTGATCAGATATAGTAATTTTTTGATCCTGAAAATCTGTCTGCTTTTCCCAGGCATGTAAACTGGAGTAATGATTAAACAAATAAAAAGTGCTGTTCAGTGATTTAGCTCTCCAAACTTGAGGCTGAAAGTAAATGCTTAGTTGCCTGATGGGAGGACTGCTAATTTGTACGAAGCTGCCTAAAATTAAGATATGCTTAAATTTTATTTTCTTTGAGATTAGAAGTCGTGACATAGAATGTGATCTCTCTGGAAGAGAGCAGGCTACAGATTCCAAACTATCAGTTCTTCCATTCCTGCAGTAGTGTGTTGTTGATGATGATAATACCCTAAACCCCCTTTCTTTTCTTCTTTCAAGATTCACAATCGATACGAAGGAAAAGACATTTCAAAGCACAAGCGAAACTTGGCTATAGCAGGTGGCGTAACCTTATCTGTAATTGTTTCTCCAGTTGTAGCTGCAGTAACTGTAGGTAAGTGAATATTACTGTTTTGTATCTTGGTAGCACCTTGCAACCAGAAGTGTGTCAGCACTCATGAATAACACAGCTGAGATAAGTCCTGTGGTTCCCTTTTATACATGAAGGAACTGAGACAAGGTGGAGTGTGAGGTTATACATTTATTGGGGCAGAATCAAGAATACAGTACTTGATTTTAAGGCAGCATTTCCTGAAGAATTAAAAGTAATTTTTATCTTACAAATTGAAGTTTCCACATTGACATACCTGGCTTTAAAGATTTGAAGTATTTAATGGGTTTTTTAAATGACTGACAAAGAAAAAAGCTGTTGCTACAGAGTCTATTCATATTTTAATAACTTCATATCAGACTCTTCTCAATGCAGAACACAAATGGTCTCTTAATATTACAGTAGTTGACAAACTATTCGTTACGTTCTGGGAGTCAGTTGGAATTCTATCATGTTCTTTCTCATGGCAATTGTTGAGGACAGCATTTGAGGAAAACCTGGCTGTACCTTACACAGTACTTGTCTCATCTTCCCATGTAATTCCAAGATCACTGTAAATCCAGGTATTTTTTGGAAAGAAGTGGACTTGCCCAGGGCTTCTTTGCTTCTCCTTTGTTGCAGCACAGGCCTCTTCACAGTTGCACAGTAAGCTGCTGTGGATAACTGATTCACACTAAGACCCACCATTCAGTTTTAAGCTGGATCAGTCCCTGATCCAATTCATCGTGCAGCTGTGTGTGCAGTGTTCCCCTTTGTGCTTAGGGAGGAATGAGTAGCCTCAGGAAGACAGGGCTGCTTTTAGCTAGTGGTGATTCACATTGGCCATGAAGCTGTGGCTGTAAACCACTTGCTATCCATGGTGGATCCCTGTGCAAATGCAGATATGCCAGTCATAGAACTGGCTCTGGTGTCAGTCTGTACTGCATTGTTCTCACGTAGCTCTGGTGTCAGATCCCTGCCAAACAGGTAGTGGGACACCAAATCTCTAGGTGTATTTATAGGTCTGCTTTACCTCATTCTTTCAAGCTGTTCCTTACTTCTTACTAGAGAGAAAATGTGGCTTTTCAGGGAAAGCAGTTGGGTTTTATTTTGTGGAGTTTCTGTTCTTGCCCCACTGCCATTTACACATGGCCTCTAGTCCCAGGACATTATATGGCTTCTGAAATGGCCATGAGAATATGGATTTCCTCAATGCCGAGAAATTTCTAGTGGAAGGGACTTTCTATAATTGGAACCCTTCTTGTAGATTAGACCGAGGAGCCTTTCTGTTGGATCTGCCTCTCTTGTGGCCCTTTCAGGATGTGCCAGCTTCCCATTTTTCAGTCTCTGGTTTTTGTACCTTCTGTGTACTTCCATCAGCAAAGCCACAGAATGATTTAATTCATATGTCAGAGGATTAACTTTCACAGTCCCCTAGAAGCAGTGGGATGGACATGTGTGTGTATCTGTGTGTGCTTTAGCCCACAGTTCCTTTCACTGGTTTCCCTAAACTCCTATCACCCTGCTCCACACAATTGTTTACGGAAAACTCACATTGAAAGATCCCAGAGTAGTAATAAAGTCCTATTAAATTGATAGCAAATCCCTATCTGCCTTCAGTGGATGCAAAATGAAGCCCCTTATTAAATTTGTAGAGATACTAACATTTTTAGTTGAATAACATTTGAAATACATCTCTGTTGTTTCTGTCTCTCAGGTGGAACATTATTACAGTTCCCAACGGAGCTTATATGAACCTTTAAAGTACTTTAATTTTGTTTGTAAAAGATGTTGTGGACATTCTGGAAGTATTAATTCATCAATCATTAAGCTTCTCTTCCTACCAATGCTGACAGATGATGTTCTGCCTGCTGAAAGCACTTTCCTGTTGTTTCATCTTAGTGATTTACCAATATTTCTTAATTTTGCTCCCTCCTGATCTCTTTCAAGTGTGAAATATGAAGTAATCATGGAAAATGAAATTGCCTTTATGAAGGGCTCTAAAATATAAGTCATATTTAATGAAAGACTGTACTTTCCTCCGTAGGTATTGGTGTTCCCATTATGCTGGCTTACGTGTATGGAGTCGTTCCAATTTCGCTCTGCCGAAGTGGAGGCTGTGGTGTGTCAGCTGGCAATGGAAAAGGTGTCAGGATAGAATTCGATGATGAAAATGATATAAATGTTGGTGGAACAAATGCAGCTGTAGGTAAGAAAATTCAGTGTTCCATTTTCTATAAATACAGGCTCTGTGACTTGTATTTGCTGCCTTAGATACTAGAGTAGTTCTTTGCAGTTGGGGCTGCGTCTGCTCATTGCTGAAAGTTCACCGCTCAGGTGATGGTAGCTTCTCTGTGTTCGTGTTGTGCTGGGCTGTAATACAAGTATTAAAGCTTTCCTTGCCCTTTTTAATAAAAGCCAGACTCGTCTTTTCCACAGGCAGTAGTTCTAAGATGACATCAGTGTTGCTCTCTCTGGCTAGCTGTTTTATAATAGGGCCAACTAAAGGCTGATCTGATGCTTTAGTTTTTGAATTACATGGCACTGCCCTTTGTAATGAGGTCTCTCTGTGTTCCTGCACTCCGTGTTACCTATCCTATCCATATTTTGGTGTCTTAAGTATGTGCTGTCCAGCATAGCCATCGTAGCAGCTCCAAGAAAGGTGTATTTTTAAATTATTTCTGGTTGTTTGGGTTTTTGGTGATTTTTCTTTTCTTTCGTCAAAGTTCTTTTCTTGTGACAGTATGTTTTATAAATCCTTCGTCTCAGCATAATTTCAGGAACAGTTTCCATGGTCACATTCTAGAAACTACGAAGTTGTACTCCCATGAGTGACAAGCCTTCTTTGTTCTGTCTAGATACCACTTCAGTGGCAGAGGCACGTCACAACCCCAGCATAGGGGAGGGAAGTGTTGGAGGACTGAGGGGCCAGCCACATGGATAGAATAGGAGCCATCCGAGACAACCTGAGCGAGACCGCGAGCACCATGGCCCTGGCTGGGGCGAGCATAACAGGGAGCCTCTCGGGAAGTGCCATGGTGAACTGCTTCAACAGGTGAGACTCTGCTCTCAGCCACATGCTGTCCTGCTCCACCGGGGAGGTGGGACTGACAGGTTTTCTGGTTTTTATTTTTTGGAATTGGTTCCTATTAAAAGGAGCTGTCTCTGGCAGATAGAGACAGTTCATCCCTGACAAACTTAGTGATTTTCAAGAGATCCTGCCTGACCACAATCCTCAAAGAAGAGTTTGAATTTTCTTCAGGGTGAATAGGGCCTGAAATCTTCTTCCCCTGCTTCCCAGGAGAGCTGCCACTACCCAGGAGTGAGAGGGAGGCATCTCATGTTAACTCAGTCGTGTTCTCTGGTGCACCTCACCCCAAACTCAGCACCACTGACTTATTCAGTAGTCTACAAGTACTGAGCTGTGCCTTCAGAACACCTGGGTGGAGTGTGGACTCCAAATGGACTTCAGGCAGGAGGGGAGGCAGCTGAGCACCTGGTCTTGCCGAGGTGCAGCTTCTTGTCACGTAAATGCTCCATGCCTCCTGTGAATTTGGACCTTACTGTTGCTGGCTGTCCTGCACCCTGAAGTGTCTGCACTTCTGAGTGTCTACAAAGGACTGTAAACATTTAGAGTTCAGGATGGAATTGGCTCCTTAAATCAGTTGCCAACACTGCTCATTTTGAGTAATTTGGCTGTTCAGGCTATGTAGAATAAGGAGTGCAGATTAGTATTAAGTTTCCCAGTACTGGGACAGGTGTTTGAAACTGTGACTGCTGAATGAAGTACACATAGCCTCTTCTTTAGAGAGCTGAGAGTGGAAAACAAAAACAACCCACTGTTACTTCACTGTCAGAACATAGGTAAACAAGACATTTGGAAAAAAGCTTGTAATTTGATTTCTGGCTTATCTGCTCAGCCCAACTTAAGTTTGCCCAGGTTTCTATTATTCCTGTTGCAGTTGATAATACAATATAAAGCAGAGTACAGAACACAGTTCTCTGCTTGTTACTTGACTTAGTAATAATTTTGCAGCAGGGGAAACATGGGAGCTCTCATGTCTTGAACTTACATACCCTTCTGAATGTTTTTACCATTTTTAGAGTGCAATGTACTATCTGCAAAAGAATTGTAGCTAAGCCTGGAAGTTGTCCTTGTAAGTCTCAGTGGAAAAAATCCAGAACCTTTGGTTAACACCTTTGGGAAATTAATCTAGTTTTGCTTTGAGATGTCTTTGTTTTTAATTAAAAAATAGTCACTTCTGACAGTGGGAAGAGAAAACCTGTTTCAGTAGGGTAAATATGCACATGTATACTGGAGTAACTCGTAAACTCTACTTATTACTGAATGGTGGAGAAACTCTACAAGGTGACACGAATTTTCAACTAGTGTGCTTTAACTGTTTTGGCAGTATATAACTCTCTCTCTTTCTCTCAAAGACTGGAAGTACAAGCAGATGTGCAGAAGGAACGATACAGTCTGAGTGGAGAATCTGGCACAGTTAGCTTGGGAACAGTTAGTGACAATGCCAGTACCAAAGCAATGGCAGGATCCATTCTGAACTCCTACATCCCTTTGGACAGGTAAGAGAAATGTGATGAAAATAGAAGATTAATAAGCCTGGATAATTAAAGGATATTCTAAGCATGCCTCAGCTCTTCTGCTTTAATGATTACACTTTGAAACTGCAAATTTTGTTACAAATGGAATTACATGTGACTGCTTATGTTTTGCCAAGCTTGTTTTCAAAGAGGAATGCCATGTCTGGAGCTCAACAAAGTGTTTGGTCTTTGGACTTTGTGTTTTCCTTTGGCCAGTTTATTCGGTTAAACACTTCTCTAAAGCAAGAGACAGCAAAGCGAGAAGGATGTGTATCTTGGAAAGCAGCAGGAGTTTGTTTTGCTGTGTTAGCTGGCTTAGCTGACCACTCACGGATTCTTCCTTGTCCTAGGGAAGGCAACAGCCTGGAGGTACAAGTGGATATCGAATCGAAGCCAGCCAAGTTCCGACACCACAGCGGCAGCAGCAGTGTGGAGGATGGCAGCGCCGCCGGGCGCTCCTCCGGCCTGCCCGACGGCAAGGCCGGCACCGCCAAGTGGTCCAAGGACTCTGCAGCAGGGAAAAAGTGCAAAGGTAAGCTGAGAAAGAAGAGTAGCATGAAGATTAATGAGACGAGAGAGGACATGGATGCTCAGCTGTTGGAACAGCAAAGCACAAACTCCAGTGAATTTGACTCTCCTTCTCTTAGCGATAGTATTCCATCCGTAGCAGATTCGCACTCCAGTCATTTCTCTGAGTTCAGTTGCTCAGATATGGAAAGTATGAAAACTTCCTGTAGCCATGGTTCCAGCGACTATCACTCTCGCTTTGCCACAGTCAGTGTTCTCCCAGAGGTGGAAAATGATCGCTTGGAAAACTCTCCACAGCCAAGTGGAATCCCTGTGCCTGTTCCAACAGCCCCAAGCACTGATGTTCCACAGCTGAGTTACATTGCTGAGGAAAGCATTAATCATGGATCTTCGGCAGATGTAGATTTAGGTGTTGGTGAAACACTGAAAGAAACAAACAACAACCATTCACAGCGTGCTGTGGAACTAAGCACTGCTATTCAGACTGAAATTTAAGTCTCTAAGTGCTGCAAAAAAATGTATTTGCCACTAAAGAACCCTGTCTGAAAGCTGGTTGAATTACGTGCGACTTCGTGGGTTTCAGGTGACCAGCAGAAGCAAGGTTTTGATACAACTGCATTTTCTATATACTTGTCTGATAAGGCAAAATACTTCATATGGATCTTTGACCTGTGTGAAGAGACCTGAAGGCTTTAACCAAGTGCATTACAGCAGTACAAATACGTCCATGTTTTGTATTTTTGCCACAACTTTGCTTGAAAGCATATACTTGGTGTATTTAGATAAAAATTGATAAATTCTTAATATGTTAAATGCTGAAATGAATAATATGTCCTGCACTGTTTACTTGGAAAATATGGGATTTGGGATAAAAGGGTGTTAGCTGAGCATTAGTGACTTAAAACCATTCTTGTGTGAACCCTTAAATTTAAGGGAAGCAAAGCTCTGCAGAGACCTATACAAACATATTTCAACAGTGAATATTCGTAATGATAATTTTTTTTCATAACTGGACACACTGTATTTAGAATGCATGTCGGATGGACTGCCTATCTTCAGGTGGATGTAGCCTGTGTCAGAAACATTTGTATGTGTGTACACTTTGAGCAAGGTTATGGCATTTTTACATCCAAACAAAAGAAATTGGTACTTAATATTGGTGGTGGAATGGAGATGTCACCTGTGAAGAACAGTGTGGTTACCCATTTATTCATGCAACCACTCATGCAGCAGATAAGGCTACTATATAGTGTATAAGAACTGTAAAGAACAATCCAGTGATTTATAGGCATTGTAGAAAAGCAGATGCAGTCACCTTTCACTAGGGGAGAATCGGTGCCCCATCAATTCTTGGTGCCTTTGGAAAAGACTGGGTTTGAAGTGCCTGGTCGTTTGAGGATTTTACTGTAATGCTTTCCAGAATGTCCTCTTTGGCCACCTTGGAACACAAAAGAAAATTCTAGTGCATAAAATGACTGTGGTAGATAAATATATAATAATGAGGTATTGGCCTACCAAAGACTCACTCAGGCTTTAGTGGACTTGACATCTCTTTGCAAGACATGCCTGTCTTCAGTCCCAGAATCTAAGTGCAGTGCAATGACTGCCCAAGTGCAGAGATGGGTTCCAAATATGCTGGCTTTTTTCTGTTTCTTTTGCATATGGAAGACGTACAGCTGAACACAAGCTGAAGTTGGCCAAAGCGCCTGCACTGTTATCATTTTTTTGCTAAGTAATTCACTAAAATGGAAAAAAAAAAAGTTGTGACTCTCAGAATAACAGTTAACAATGTTCTGTCTTGTGTTTCATGTATTGCCATTATGGTGCTACTGGAAGTTTGGTTGGATAAAAAGAAAATGCCATGAGCTGCAGTCCTCTTCCATGACTTATCCTCACCAGTTTCAGTAATATGCTTATAACACTAGTGCCAGTTATGTTATTTGGTAATGCTTGTTACAGTATTTGTATATTTGCAACTCAGTTTTGCTCAATAATATGCGTGTAAACTGCATATCTGAAATAAATGTCTAAATACTGACTTCTAGTGGTCGGTTGTTCAGTGTGCTGATCAGCCTCACGAAAATGTGTGTTCCAGGAGGAGCTTTTTTCCCTGTAAGGTGCTGACTGCTGTCAGCTCTTGTTGCCTTTAAACATTTTTATTTTCCTAAGTGTGCTTAGGATGTTGAATGCTCTGATACTTGGAAATGTAAGATCTAAAGTCAGTTGCATTTTGTATAAGACTTCAACCTGATCGCTCTTCTCCAAGATGAAAAGAAATCTGAGCTGCCTCTCTGGCAGGCAGGACAGTGAATGGTTTTCTGAGAGGGATGTGCCTTTGGCACGAGCTTATTGCTCTTTAAACAAAACTGCACCATCGTGGCACAAGTCACATTACTCAGCTGAAGTCAAACTTGACTTTCTCTATCTGAAGTGACACTCTTCTCAGTTCACATGGCCTGCACAGAGCTCATTCTGAAACACCAGAGATTGACCAGAGTTTCTGGGTAACAACTGTTTGGTTTTTATGCTCAGCTGAACTACCTTTTCATTAGGCTCATTTTCTCATCTGCATCATGACAGGCTTGGGAAGGAAGAAACTAAAACTGATGGGGATGCATTCCAGAAGACATAGCTGGATCTGCCTCATCCCAAACACAGATGTAAGCTATACTTCTATCAGAATGAATAACAAAAGGAAAACCCTTAACACTGCATCAACTCTAAAGCTACAACCAGAGCATTATTTATACCATTTCTAATGACAGGTTCTCAAAGAGAATAAAAGACAGGATGAGTGCACAGCTTGCCTTAGCAAGGCAGCAGGGCACACAGGCAATATTTGCCCTGTCATCAGGCACTCTGAACTGCAAGCCACTGCAAATCTTGTGTTTTGCTGGGAGGTTGGTGTTAGCAGTTCCTTTTTGTTCCAGATTGATTCCCCCACCCACCCCCAGTCCAAACACTTAAGAAATGTACTGTTATTGAGGAGTAGAGGGTGAATTCTGATGTAATTTTTCAGGCCTGTGTAGAAATTTCTCTGCTACAGGCACGAGCTGGTTCCTTATGCAGAGGCTGGAGAGTGGAGCGGTACGTGCCTCGGTGAGCCAGTCATACCTCTGTCACTGCATGCCCAGAGCACCTGGTGAGTGTCCTCCAAGGCCTCCTGTTCCTAAACCTCCAAGGAAGTGAAGTTTCTGTGCAGTCTCATACAACATTTCCTTTGGTCAGCTGAAGCCAAACATTATTTGCTCCGTGCAATAAAGCAGAAGATGAACCTCCCCCTGTGGCTCTCACTTTCTGTTTTTGAGTCTGATGTCTTGTGCAACAGCAATAAAGCTGTTGCTGATGTCTCAAGCTTTGAAAATGTGTGACTTCGCTTTGCCCAGGCTTTTACACCTGTGAAATGGCTGATGCACATCAAATTGCAGCAATGCAACCCACTGCTGACAGGGAAGTGGGAGGTGGAAGACCTTTTCTATGAGTTTAAACCTCTTAATTTCTCAGGCTCTCAATTTTGCTGTGCAGGAAATTGGAAATATAGTTTACTCCAGTAAGTAAACTCAGTCACCTGGAGATCACCTGATAATTTTGTACCCCACATCAAGAGGTAACGTTGAAATACAGGTAAGGTTTTTTCCTATTCACTTTCAGATAAGTTTTTAGCAGAAAATTATTTTGCTGATTCATTTTGTAACTTTTTTTTGTTCAGTGATAATATTTCATATGTGAGGCAGTCTAAAGAGCACCCATAAATTTAACATAGCACTGAATTTTGAGTCTATAAAAAAGCAAAAGAAATAACACTTTCATTAATACACTAATGCAGAAGATGCTTCTCTTAGTTATAGATGTACCAGGATAAAAATTCAATAAAGCAAAGTTTTTCTTTCACTGAAATAAACAGGAAAGATCAAGTTTATCTCTGATCTCCCAATGTGGTGGTTCTTCTGAAATCTTTGTGATTCATGGCCAATTTGACTAATTCACATCAGATTGTGGATCTCAAGGAAATTTATTTTAACATCTGCTGTATCTGAGAATCCTTAAGATAATTATAACTTTAAACAGATAAAACCCACCGTAACCCTCATGATGTTTGCATAGGCTTTTTTGTAGTAAAGCATCTGGACTTCTGCACCTTTCACTGAATCCATGTCACAGGCTTTTGCGTGTATGAGCTGGTACCATTTACTGGTACATAAACATTTTTTCACTGATTTAGGGTTCTTCCAGTCATTCAAACTGGTTTTTAAATATTGACTACTAGGTAATGATACTACCCTCATGGGCAATAATGCTTTTAAGGATAGTCAAGCAGAAGGTTGAAAAATCTTAGAGTTAATGAACTTAAATACCATTAATATGCCATCAAACTCAGATGAAATTGAGGCACTCTTGAGCAGAAACTCTCAGATGACACTGAGAGAACCTTTCTGAAATTACAAAGGTCTGAAGGGCACCTTTACCACCTTGACTGCTCGTGCCTGTCCCAAAGGTGACAGCCACCTGGTCATCTTGGATGGAACAATCTGGTGTTGCAGGGGGAGCAACATATTCTCCCCTTGAGGGTCAGAAAAAAATCAGTCTTGGAAGATGGCTAGGGAGGTTCTTTCTTTAGTCCTGATTTATGGTTTGTTGCTGTTCATACGATCAATATATTAAGGATGTAAGACACAAACTGAAGGTATAGACTGTGGACAGGTGAATGTGATGTCTCACATCAGAGCTCTGCCAGGTAGGGACATGGTCTTGTACTATCCTGCTTGCCTGGGTGAAGGCTGCCCTTGCTGCCAAGGCTGCTGTCCCCTGACGGAGGGAGCACTGAGTGCTGCTCCCAGTCACCTGAGTTACTAGCTGTAATGCTGCTCAAGAGGCTCTCATTACCTGCATCCCTGGAGGATCACTGCCAGGGAGGATCACTGCCAAGCAGTTGCACGGGCAGCGTGTGATGCCACCAGCTGTCCCAGCAGCCAGGATCGTGCTGTGCCCTGGGGTGGTACCTAAAATGTTATCAAACTGCGGATCATGCTCTTGAAATGTTTTGGCTTTGGAACAGATACCCATCTGTCACAAAATCTAGGCTCTCTGCAGCAGCTGGAAGCTCAACCACAAACGAACCTGCTGTTGCACCTCGCTCATGTGAGTATCTTTAAGCTGTGACTGCCTCTACCTCCCTACACCCCAGGTACCAGCAGCAAGCTGAAGACACAACTCTCCTTGCAGCAGGTCCTGATGAGCTGGCTTGGCAAAAGAACTATTACCCACAGAAAGTTAAGGGGTTGGAATGGACCTTAACGATCGTCTAGTCCCAACTCCCTGCCATGGGCAGGGATATCTCCCACTAGACCAGATTGCTCAAAGCCTCATCCAACCTGGTGTTGAACACTGCCAGGGTTGGGGCAGCCACAGTGGCCCTGGGCAACCTGTTCCACTGTCTTGCAATCCTCACAGTGAAAAATTTCATCCTAATATCTAATCTAAATTTTCCCTCTTTTGATTTATAACCCATTACTCCTTGTCCTATTGCTACAGCTTCTGATGGAGAGTCCCTCCACAACTACTTACCCCAGTAGGCCCTTCAGATATTGGAAGATTGCTATGAGGTCTCCACACAACCTTCTCTTCTCCAGGCTGAACAGGCCCAACTTCCTCAGTCTGTCTTCATAGGGCAGATGCTCCTATCTTCTTATCAACTTCATGGCCTCCTCTGGACTTCCTTCAACAGTTCCATGTCCTCCCTATGTTGGGTACACTAGACCTGTACACAGTTCTCCCAGAGAGCTCTCACAAGAGCAGAGTAGAGGTGACGAATCACCTCCTTCAACCTGCTGGCCACGCTCATTTTGCAGCCCAGAATTCAATTGGCTTTCTGGGCACACTGCAGCTCATGGTGAGTTTTTCATCAATCATCACCTGAAGTCCTCGACAGGGCTGGTCTCAATGAATTTCCCACCCACCCTGTAGCTGTGCCTGGTATTGCTGTGACCCACTTTGTTGAACTTCATGAGGTTGGCATCAGTCCATGTCTCAAGCCTGTCCCTCTGGATGGCCAAGTGCTTCCCTCCAGCGTGTTGACTGCCCCACACAGCTTGGTGTCATCAGCAAACTTGCTGAGGGAGCTCTCTATCCCACTGCCCATGTCACCAGCACAAACACTGAACAGTACTGGCCTCAGCACCAGCCCCCAAGGGACAGTTCTCTTATCACTGGGCTCCACATGGACAATGAGCCGCTGACCACAACTCTGTGTGGCCATCCAGCCACTTCCTTATCGTCAGTGTTATTGCTTACCATCCTCACAACATGGACATTAAAATTCCCAGGAACCTGAGTGGTGTGTTTAGGCACCAGACCAGTGCTGGGCTTGAGTTGCCCTTTTCTCACAGGCTGCTTGCTCAAGACATTTTTGAGCAAGCCATTCTCTGTGCTAGGCACTTTATCCCCCTATAATCCCTCTCACTTACTAGCAAAAACACTCTCATGTTGCTGAATTTATTTAGGAGGGTGTCATTTAGCAACAGCACAGGGCTGCAAGGGAATGGCACTGCTGCCTGTGGCCTGCACTGCTGCAGGTGGAGGCTGCGTCTCCACTGAGGTGTGTCACATCCCAGGGGAAAGGTCCCAGGCAGGGACCCAGGGAATGAGGGAGGACTTACAGGTAAGTGATATTTAATCCTCCTTCAGCCAGACATTGTGGGAGGGTAACTGCTCTGAGCTGCCTGCCCTGTGTCCCTCAGGCAGCTGCAGCTCGCAGGCAGTGAGCAGTTAGTTACACTGGCCTTAATTTACAAGTGGGGAAGGGCAAAAGTACATACTTTGTTCACTGTGATAAACAAGTCTGTCTTCTGAAAGGCCTGGCAGCCACAGGAGTAGCCCCTCATTTGTGCAACTGGATGACATAAGGCAGAGCAGGTTCTGATGACAGAAAAAAAAATGCCACAAGCTCCAGGCCAAGCAGTGGCAAAAGCAGCAATTGAGCAGCTCTGTGGCTTCTCCCACTGACAACAAGAGGTGTCATCCCAACAGAGTCAGGGGCTGCAAAACTGATTCTGCAGTCAGTCCCATGGTGAGCTGAAAGACTGAATCACTAACACAGAAATGAGTGAATGTCAACACCTTCCCAGCACAACTGAAGAACAAACTGGCACATTGCTGCTTACGTACAATTGATTACGCACAGATTCGATGAGTGACAGATCTCTCTTGAACACCAGACTCTCATAAAATGAGTACATTTAAAACCAAAACCCACCAGTTGTACTGATGGTGTTTTAGGAATGAAAAGCCTCATCCTTGGCACATAATCCACATGTCAGAATTATAAACCTAGTATGTCCAACCAGAAAAGAGGTTACATATAGATGAGTCTTATACACCTAATTGCACTTTTAAAGAAAAAAACCTTTATTAATATACACCTGAGAGAAATTTTCATTAGAACAACATTCTTAATGATATTTCTGCAGTGCTAGTGAGTCTGATATACATTTATATCACATGTGCAAAGAAGGCATCAGGGTATTTGAAAAATTTAGAAGCTTCAACTTTGACAGAGCCTGGTCAGAATCAAATACAAAACATAAGTACTGCCTGAAATAAAAAAAATAAAATCATACTGGTCCACAAAATTATTTCACTTTTAGTTTTACAAATATGTCTGTAAACAGAAATAGCTGGTGTTTTAAATAATCCCATTACAAACCTCAGAGTTAAATATTTCTACTGCCAAGTGCAGCCACTTGTTCTCTGTTTACCACTGTCACTGACCAGGCAGACAAACCAGCACTCCTTCCACAAACACAGAACAAAAAGTAATTCTCTGTGCACTAAAAATTACTCGCTTGTTAAAAATATACCCATTTATTAACTGTTTTCTTTCCATGACAAGCTAATGTAGAACTCATTCACCTCTGCTGCTAAGCTGTATTGCACCAAAATATTTAAATCTGTGTTGTATAGACCAGGGACAGCGGAGAAACAGATGGTCCGAAAAACGTTAATACTTTATGTAAACTCATTTTAGCAAAACTACTGCTAAACTGACCCGTTTATCTTGAAGACACTTCTTTATCACAAGAACAGGAACTCACAAAACGATACAAGGGATGACTACAAGTGCATTATCTATTGTACCAGCAAGTTATTTCACATTATATACATAATGCAAAATGTATTTTTCTATGTGTAATTAACACAGTCTAAATAAAATCAGTGTGCCAAATAAAACAAACTCTGCTACTGAACATAGACATGCGTTAAATTCTAGAGAAGTGTACAACTACAAGGAAAAAGAGCAGCAAGTTTTAAATGTGCAGATGCTGTCGAGACAGAGTAAGATTCCAGCAATCCAGGTAAAGACCCCCTTGAACCCACACAAGGCTGCAGAGTTCACCCATCCATCTCATACACACAAACTATATGCATGCAGCCAATAAACTTTAACTTCTTAGAGTTCATAAACCTTTTTAAGGCTCTCAAGATCTTCCAATGAGTACTGGTCACTCTGGTTTTCTGAAAGCAAGTCAAACAGTTGCTGCACTTGTTCTTTTTCATTTTTGCTAAGAAGAGCCAGCACCAGCTGAAATAAAAAAAAATATTGGGAATTAGCACAGGTTGACTGAAATCAGAGTATCTGACAGAGATACAGAATCAGTGTATCACTTTAAGCCATGAAAATTTCCTTTATGCTACTGTGCAATTTAAGTACACGCTCAGTCTATGTTCTTACCTTAAACCTTTCTGCTTTGCTCAAGTAGAAGAGGTGCTGATACACAAGGCCAGGATCTTTTCCAGCTACATAATATTCCAATGACTGGATAAAAATCAAAAAGGTTTCTCCTTCAAGTTTGTTACTTAGCAGCACTGGCAATTTTTTTGGATCAGTAATTGTTAAAAGATCTGCACAAGCAGCTTTATCCTTATTGGCATTCACTGCATTTACAATCTGACCGAAGTCATAGGCATTAGTTGGTTCAGAAACACGAAGCTTCTCACAGGACTTCAGTGGCAAACTCTTCTGAGCCTCCTCCTTAGAAGCAACGTGATCAGTCACATCTTCTGATGAAGCAAATTGTCTCTCCTCCTGTTCATCAGGTTCAGTCACCTTCACAAAGCAAATGACAACAAATCATTTTAATGTGGACACAGAGATAAACTGAAGCTGCAAAAACTGCACACACCCATCATGTCACTAAATTAAAGCTGCCATTCTCCTCTTCATAACAGAAAGGCACCTACGTTCTTCTTTGTCCTACTGCCCCCAGAACAGCCCCTCGCTAAGTCATCTCTAAAGGTCTGGAGTCAAAAGTGTGTATTTTACACTTCTTTCACTGCTTGGCTCTCCACTGCAGAACAACAGCTGGAGACCACCCAGAGAAAGCCAAGGAGGTCTGTACACATCTCTTAAATGTGAAGGCACAGAAGACAGTGAGAACTGAAGTGAAGGCACCAGACACACGTTTCATCTCAGGACAGTACAGGTACTTGGCAGCTGTATCAGGTTGCTGTTTGGAGTCCTGCTGGAATGAGCTCCTCGTGGTTGAACTCCCTGAATACCCACTTAACTTCTCCCAAGTTTGCAGCCTGCATCAAGCTTCAGGAAACAGTCACTTCAGAAAATTAGCTATAGATTCAACTACATTTGCTACTATGCTTTTCAAGCCATCAAGAGTTGTGAAATAAGTGTAACCTGACTAAAACTCACTGAACAGGGTCTCTCAAAGGATGCCAAAGGCTTTTGAGAGGTCTGAAGATACTGTATCGCATAGCACAGGGCACTAGTCAGCTTCTGAAAACACTGCACTGGGCTCAAATACTTTGTTCTGTTTTTCAACAAACCTTAGAATCAAGAGAGAAATTTTGACTGGTTTTTATATAACTACAACTTGATTAAAATGGAATAGTGATGATAAATCAATCTTCTCTCATTTTCCTTACTTTTCTTTGCAGTCTGTTTTCCTGGAACTACCTTGTATTCCAGCACTAAGACAGAGGAGGCTCTCTACACTGCAGCTGTAATTATGACAGCAAACATAAATGCTTCCTGCCCCACCCCTGGAAAAATTACCACTGCCAGTTACGTAGTTAGCTGGTCTCTGAACAATGTGGTCACTTCCCAAACCTCCTCTAAACACTTTCCAGGCCCCTTTGTTTGTCAGAACTCGGAGATTAACCAACACTGTGCTCAGCTTGTGCCAGTTACATAAAATCCCATGAACTCGTGACAATGTGAAGTGTTTCAGTCAAACAATTTTCTTCTATACTAGTAACTGCAGTTTCCATTATACCAACATTACATTATCAAATTACACTGTACAGACAGGTAGCTATGTATTTTAACTATACATTTTTAAATTAAAAGGGGGGAAATTCTTAAAGGACCAGCAAAGCTACAATCCAAAAATATAAGATGACTGAGAAAATTCCTTCACCACGTAATTCTACCCAGAACTGCACAAGGCTAACTTGATCTTGTACATAACATTACATCACGTGTTTCTTTTACAAGATCCTACAGATGTTTTTCTCTTGCTCTTTAGGCAGGGTTCTGTGTCTCTCTCCCGTGACTTTCTGACTAGCACAGGAGCAGCCAGCACAGCACACCTGCTGACCATGAACCTCTGCAGCACAGCCCTGAGGAGCAGAGGCTTTAACAGCCACACTGCTGTTTGACAGCCATTTTCTGTAAAGCACTTATTTCAAAGTCTAAGCAGCTTTTGTTTTCAAGGAGCATATCCTTGAGTTTAATGCCATTTAAATGGACTTTTCCCATTTCTGCCATGGTTCTGAATACACTTCAGAGCAGTCCAAACTTTACTATAGAATACAATCAACCCTGAACACATCACATGCAAAACTCCTCCAATATACCCACAAAATAATGTGAAAAATACAACCCTACCCCCCAAAAATGTAGAGCTACGATGGACAAAACAAAAGCCTTAATATTATCTCTTCAAATGTGTGGCTTCTGTCCTCTTTCATTTTTTAAAAAACCAATTTGTTTGCTTTTAAAAATTGAGCAGGTATACCTCTTGTATGGTGATTTGCCCGTGCTGACTGCCAGCTCCGGCACTGCTGGCAAGGTGAAGCAGTTGAGTTACCTCCTCTAATTCATTCTGTGCTTCAAGAACATTTGGATCCATTACAAGTACTCTGTTGAAATCATCCACACTGGCTTGATAATTCTGTAAGTAGAAGGGAGAGTATTTTTCCACAAGCACATCACTAGAAGCATAAATCTGAACTGCCACACTGTCCTCTACAAAAAAGAAGAGTGAAAGTGCTGGGATATTAAGTAGACTAAAGTAATCTAAATACAGACATTGTAATTTCATTAAAGGGGAAAAAAGGAAACTGAGACTGAGTTTGAGTTAATATTTTGCAAGTAATTACTTCTGATTAAATATGCAATATGAAATAATTTATTCTCAGAAACATATTCCCTGTATCAGAGAACAAGTTATTTAAGATTGCTGCTGTTAAGCATAATTGCTGACAGTGTAACACTGCTTCAAGATTAATATAATGTGAGTCCATCAACAGTTTCCATACTTGCTCTGCCAATAAAAGAGTTAAATTAAGCTTTGACTAAAAATATACCTCAACTTCCCGGGCTTCAACCCACAGATCATCTCTTACAGCGAGACTTTTGGCAATACCTGATAAGACAGACTGCTATGAACTCTGGGATAAACAGGATTAGGACAAACACAGTGACACAGTGGCATTAGGACACTGTTTCTCAATAATCAGTCTTATAATTCAATGCTTTTATTTACATTTTTTTCATATTAGGAATTACTAATGTTGAGACTAAATTTTCTGGACAAAGTTAATAACAACAAATCTGAGAAATGTTGGAACACCACACAGAAAAATCAAGACCCTCAAGGGCTGGAGTATCAAAAATAAGGATGAAATGTAGCAGTAAAAGGCCATGCAGACAGCCTGATTTCTTGTGTGACGGACCTGGTATTTCTTCTGTTCCTTTCATAAGGTTATTATTAAATCATTTGTATTATCATGGGAAAAAATCCTCATGTACTACCTGAGGTATTTCCTCAGCATCTCCACTTTCAATGCTGATGACCAGTACTTAAGGTGCAGAGATGCTCCAGCAAGTCTGCAGGTGAACTGAAGCCTGACAGACTGCGAGGGAAGAGTGACTTGCGTAGCCTTAGCCAATGAATGCAGAAAAGGGCAGGTTGCTTTCATCAGAAATCCACTACTTATTAAGCTAAACCATCTGAATTACAGAGAAATGAGAATCTGGAACAGACTTCTGAACATAGTAACTAGGGTCAATAAGCAACCAACTGAACTTAAAAGTGCATCCTGCCAGACTTCTCCACAAATATCATACAAGAAGGCTGTACCCAAAGCAAGAGACTGGGCTGTCAGCTGTAGAAGATGTCACCTAGAATCCTCTGTCCTGTCACATGCCTAATGCAACAGACAAGCACGGTTTTTCCCTGATCTTCCCTTAACTACATCTCATCTACCCTAATTTACTACATGAAATTCCACTGCAGTTTTTGTAGGTAAATACCTGGGTTATTTAAAAAAAAAAACACTTCCCAGCTTAGTTAAGTCCTTGCCAAATTACATAATTTCAGCTCCTAAAATCTGTCATTACAGAATCATTGGGCAACTTCAGATCACTGTTGTTGCTTTCCCTGGTTCTACGGATCACCCGTATCCCTGGAATTAGCAATAATGGAAGATACTGAATCCAACCACGAAACATTTGGGAGTCCTCAGCTCAGACTGTTCTGCAGAAATCCCTAGCACTGTGTTTCAGGTTGTATTCAAAAACACAAAGAAAAGCACTTTTTTTCTAGGGTATTCAAAAAAGCAGAAGTTACTTCTCCAATATTTGATATTCTTCACAAGTGTCTAATACTTTTTTTTCTGACTGGCAGAATCACTATACACCTCTGCTCATATTTATACTGATATTTTATCAAGTTCAACAACATGAAGTTACAAGTGATTAATACCAGGTAGATTGGTACATTTACAGAAAAAATACTACACAAAATTAAGACTTTTCACCTTTTGTGAACATTAATTATACTTTCAAGATTTCATAGCTACTATAACAGAGGAACAAATTTAACACAAACAAAAGATCCCATGGTTCCCACGACTTGCATTTGGAACTATAACATGGGATGAGACTAGGCCAGTACACTGCTAAGCACAAACAGGTTGGTCTCAGGTGATTTGTAAGCCAAGAGACAATCAGGTCATTTTTGGTTAAGGCATGAAACATAATGGAGGTCTGAGCTCATTGTCCATTCATTCAAAGGACAATGCTGAAACCTGGTGGCCCTTCAGTTATAAAGAGCAACATGGAAGAAAGCACTTAAGAAACTTGTTTAAAATACTTGTAAAATTTAATACAAAGTAGATGATCACAGTTCCACCATGAGCCAAGGAGGTGAGAAGTTGATAATGCAATACCAGGTAAGAGGTGACAGGTAGAACAAGGATTGCTACGAGAGAATTATGAAGTGCAGAGGCTAATTTAACATCACTGAAGAAGGGGAAGCAGAGGGATGGACAAAAGGAACGACATGGTTCAAGTGATGAAACCTGAGATTCACAGTCACATTCAGGATGGATATGAGTTATCCAGATAGGCATTTATGATTCTTGGGTAGAAAAGTTACTCTAAAAACTGTGTGTAAGATGAGCACAGTACAGACACCACCAACACTGAGCAGATGGAAAGGAAAAGGCTGAGTACCAACACTGCCACAGAGTGAGAAAGTACAATACTGACAAAGGTTTGTAATGTCTTTGGGGGAATAAAGAGAAGAAAAACAAAGGTAATTAAAACCGTGGTTTAATATGACAGGCACTTAAACATGAAGACAGCTTGAGATTTGAGTTTGGACAGATGAAGACAGACCTGGAGAGAATCCATTTGTCATCATCAAGGTTATAGTAAACACCTTGACAGATAAAACAGACTGGGATACCCAGAAGAATACTGGAACAGATTTGAAAGTTGCTTAACCAATCTCCAAACAAACCTCATTTATCCCAATGTTCTTGTATTTTCTCAAATTATTACATGTCAACACGCAGGTATTTGCGTTTCAAAAATATTTATATAACATTTTATGTATGCCTAATGCTCTCAAAGTAATAAATCATCACCATTGTGTACTTTGTATTCACCCACTGACTGCAACTACTCCATTGCCTTTGAAGAAGATAAGCAAGTTTATTAGTGCTTAAGAATACCTGCTATGTTCTTTTTCCTCACCTGTAATCCTTTGTATGCTAGTGCTCTTCTATAAAAGGCTTTAATATTAGAATCTTCTATCTGAAGAACGTGATCACAGTCCTGCTTAGCCTCTTCATATTTACAGAGTTTCAAGTAACAGAGAGCTCTAACACAGAAAAACAGAATAGACTGCAAAATAAGTAAATTCTACAGTACTGTAGTGCAAACAGTATCTGACTTGCAGTGTTAATTACAGTATTTCACACAACTCAGTCTCAATGTGGTATTTTTATAGTACATCAAAACCATTAAGAACATCACTGCATAGATTTAGAGAGGGCCAATTCCTGCAACAAAATTCAAAATTCAAGTATTAACTAATGGTTGAAGTTAGGCAGATATGCAACTATAAAGGCAGAACATATGTTAGTATAATATGATAGTATAGTTATTAATGTAATATGGATTTATACAGCCAAGTGCTCCAAATGAAACAAACAATACTGCTTTCTGCACCCAATTATTACTTGGAAGTCTCCTATTCAAGTCCTGGTCTAATCAAATCCCTCTTAGTTTGTGAAAGCTGATAAGATTACAGCATAAAGAATTATACTGCAGAATTAGGTCAACCTTTAAAATAATGCTGATGTATGACCGTGTTACCACTTTTCTTTTCTCAGGATGTACATTTTCTCTGAATTATTACTCTTCATATTTGAGATACTGCTACTGAATGTTAAGTTTTTAATTCAAATCATAGCAGTATCCTCAAAAAATGCTGCAAAATGCTATGCTAATTATAACTTCTACTATTGCTTACTCTATTTATACAATGATTTTAAGATATACGTCAGTGACATTAATGTTTGCTCCCCCTGGGAAATAATGTGGTTTAACAAAAAAAAAAAAAATCAATTTTGTTATTAGAACAATTATTAAGTGGGGGGAAAAAAAAAAATCCCTTTTTCACAACAGTGACTGAAGGGATGCAAAATTTCTATTTGCAGTGAGAAAACATAACTACTGTTACCCCACAAAGCAGAGTTAGATTTTGGATCTTTACCTGTTAGTGTAGACAGTACATTCCTCAGTGTTTAGCTTCATACATTCACTGTATTTATTTACAGCTTCTTCATATTCCCCCATTTTTACAAAATCATTCCCTTCACTTTTCAATCTCTTGAACTTCTCCATAGCTTCCTCACCTACATCACAAAGGGATCACAGTGTTACATAAGCAGGTCAGTTCACTAAGGGTGGCTGAATAATCTACACAGACTAAGAATAAATGCCTGGCAACTGGAGTATCTTTATCTGCCTACACATTGCCACTCCTGTCCCCAACCTCCCTGCTACTCTAAGAGGCATAAGCTACCACAACTACATTTGGATCAACACATACTTCCACCAGCCTTTCACCTCCTTCCACCTACCCTGTCCGTGTGGGACAGAGGGACTACCTATGTCCACTGAGACACTAGTTTTGCTTACAATGGTGGAGATTTAATCAGCAGGATTAAAGGCCTTCTGGATCTGCACTATCACTCCAAGGTGGCTACAATTTGATCTAATAATCCTTTTGCAAGCAACTATCACAATTACTAAGCTAAACCAACAATGACAAACAAATCACCACATCAGTTGGTGTTAGGGATACATCAGTAATGTTCTGTTAATAACTATGTATAAAAGATGCTTTGTGGAACCTGGAAACACCTAACTACAATTTGTTTTTTATTAATACCATGTTATTCCCTAATTGCCTTTCCTTCTAATTCCACATCTTTTGCTGCATATGCTTTTGGGTTAGACTACAATTTTTAGCTGTGTTTGTGGCAAAAAAATGATCATGACTGCAGCTTTGTGTCTCTGTTTTGAGCAAACAATAATAAGCAACATAGCTCTGAGTAAACCACAATGGAACAATCTACTTTTTGCACCTTGCTAAAGAATACAAGCCCCTTGCCAAGCTGACCATTACTGCTGGCAGGCTTCAGCACCAGCTATCACTGTCAGGGCTCACTGATGCAGCACAGGCCTGAGAAGGCAACCACAACTTAAGAGTCAGCCTTCAGGGAAGAAAATAGTTACACAATCTTCATCAAATATTCCTAAAACCAAAGCCTAACCAAAGCCATGTTTGATTGAGCTATGTTTTGTGCCAAAATGCTGCCAAGCCCTTGAAGGACATTCATTATTGCAGTAATGCATTATGGACAGATAACCCCAACACTGCCACATATTTGCCCAACAACCCATCCTAAAATGAAACAAAACAAACCAAAAATAACCCACCCAGAAGTGTTCTTCTGTAGCACATGTCACTCAATACTGTCACCTGCAAGTCTACCCTTTTTATCCTGAGGAGCTGAGTAATGCTTTCACAAGGAATTGAGTGACAGTCACAGATTATACAGCTCTTATGTTACTGAGGTTGGGTGTTTGTTTGGGTGGTGGTTTTTGGGGGGAGAAAACCATGTTATAACTGCAGTATAATGTCAGGGACACTACAGATACTAGTGTTACGACTCAATGTACTGCTGATGAGTATTTCTGATAACTTTATATAACTTCAGAAATTACATGCTGCAAACTACATCACTTGGTTTAAAAAAATTATTGCAACTGTGGCTCCATAACCTACATTAAACTCAATCATGTAAATGACAATGACCTACTCTGACTTTTCACAAAGGTCTCTGCTCAGTATTTTCTAAAGCACTTTCCTTGACATTACTAAAACATAGTCCATCTTTCAATTACATAATTTTCCTTTTTATCTATCTTTATTTGCATTAGCCATACATACGATTCATCTCCACTTGCTCTTCTCTTTTGACATCTGTAGTACTTCCTGGCTCATTCTCTGAAGTGTTGTTTCCTCCATCCCACCTGTGCAGCTGAGCAGCAACTGGGACAACTGGAATTGGTGGCAGTTTCTCCCTCCAACTGGGCCCATCCTGATCTATTAAAGTCTTTGTTATTCTGAAAGAGAACAGCCCCACCAATATGACTTTTCATATATTTAACTCACACTTCAATGACTTATGCCCAAATTAACTAATGCTATGTTCCAGTTTCTAAAAACATTGAACAATTATCCTTAAGACTAATTTAAAAAGATTGTCAGAGCAGTCAACAGCATTGCACTCCTTTAAGACTTTTCCACCTTTTAGAGTACTTATGTTGGCATTTAGAAGACAGGCAGACTTCAGCATGATCTGTAAATACGTAAGCCAATGACTGATTCTGTGACTGAGCTCTAAATGCTGCCTACCACATCCAATAAAGAAAGAAGAAAAAAAAATTTTTTTAACTTACTCGTCTCAGCTGTTCATAGGTGTTATTTTTAACAAGTGTAGCTTACAATGTCCTCAGACAAAGTGTGGTACCTAGATTTGCACATGTCAAGTGAAACCTCTTATGCAGCTGTCTAAATAAGCAATGCAGGTGCCAAAGTAGGCTGCATTAAGTTGCATTTTATAGTTTTATGGTCAGAAATTCATCAATTTATCCACATTTAAAAGTACTTTCATTATATACAAAAACTGTTCAGTCTTCCTTAAAACAACACATATACGTAGGTCAACAATTTCCGTACATGAGAGGTTCAATCCAAAAATCCATTCCAGTGGGAGTTTCCCACTGCCGTGCTACATGGCGGAGAAAGGCCTAAGTAAACATGGTAAGTGAAGCCATTTGAGATTTCATGGTTCCATCACAAATTCTGTAGTGGTTTTTTTAAACCCAAACAAATATTAAGCAATGATGAGAAGAATAGCGAGATAAACATATTCTAATCTCAAAATGAGTTTGAGAGTCAAGTTCAACTAGCAGTAAGTCTAATACGTACTTTAAAAAAGGAAAATTCTGAATTGAGTAGCAAAGCAAGTCATGTTGATACTATAGCAAATAAACCTCAAATTTTTATTGTAGCTGCATTTCCATACAAAACGGGTGTAAAAAACATAGTACAGGAATACGCATCCAAAAAAAATAAATATAAGAACCTAGCAAGTGACATGAAGCATGACGTAGCATGAGCATAAATTACCCAATCAAGTTTGCTTGTTTAGCTTTGTTCTTTGTAATTATGTGAATAACAGCCATTAAAATTAAAAAAAAAGCATTGGTATGATACTATGGCAACAGAGTCAGAGCACTCAACACCTAATTCTTTTCCCATTAGAGTACAACAGAAAAACTACTACAAAGCAGTACCTGTTCTGACCTTCTTCATGTAAAACAGATATTACCAAAATACTTCCATCAACGCTAGAGACTGAAAGGTCTGTTCATAGAGCTACCTAATGTGAGATTCTATGTATTACATCATGCTGCATGAAACACACCATTTCTTGCATTCCTGAATTGAAACTATATTTCTTCATACACAGAATATCACATTTTGCAGTATAATCTAGTTGCTTTATTTGTTTGCTAAGTGAACAAAAAGACTATTTTTCTGTGTGTTAACTGCATATGCCCTTCCAAGGGTTTTCCTCTACCTGTGCTGTTTCTAAGCATTTTATAGGACATACCAACAAAGCAGCTTGTCCAAGTATCTCTGTGCTCTAAGTTTACTAAAACTTCAGGATTTTAATGATAACCCACTCAATTGTTAAGAAAAAATATGGCATACCACCATAAATTAAACAACCCTAAGGTTTACTCAGGTTATTTTATTAGAGAACAAAACAGTTCATATTAAGAGGTCAATTCATTAGATTTAGGTATTTCCCATAGAAAGGAATGGAATAATTCTACAGTAAGCCATACCCGTAGTATTAACTTCTTGTTGATTTTTTTTCAATTTATCATAATGGGCTTAAAAAGTTGAAGAAAAGTTGGAGAAACCTCATCTAATTCATCCAAGTCCACAGAAAGCAGCCTGCAGTATCTGATCATCAACTGACTTCTTGTAATACAATAATGTAAGCATACTCTTTTGTGGAAATGCATACCTGTGTGCCATGGTTAGTGTGAAAAGCACAGGTATCTCATGAAAAAGCTGGGACAAACACACTCATTTCCCACCACCAGCACCCTCACGTGATCCAACAAACCAGCAATTCTGGAGTTTAACACAAACTCATTTCTACAGGACAATATTCCTATGGGACTTTGCAAAAACAGCTTCCAGGATACCTCATGCAATTTGCTCACTGGTATTAAAAGAGTTGAGACAACTGCAATAGAACTTCAGCTCAGTAAAGAGGAAATGCATAAATACATTCCCACACATTGGAGCTTCCGTATTTCTAACAGTGAAAAGCAAATAATAAACCACTCATTCAAGAGGAAATTAAAACACACAAAGCAGGAAATGCATTGCTGTTCATAAAGCTAGGAAAATGCCACTAATTAAAAGCATGCTTGAACTGCATTTTCCAGTTATTTGGCACACACCATTAAAAGAAACAGTCCTTCCAATGTATCTAAGAAATCACCTCAGGAACCAATAACAGACACAACTCAACATCATCTAACCAACATGATAAACACTCAAATAACTGTTTACACCTGTTTGCATTATGTACTTACACTCTTAATTATTTCCTTTTGAATGTAAAATGATCAGGTAAAGGCTTGATATTAAAAATTCCACTTGTCTTTTACATGAGTATTAAAAATACATGTGATTCTATGAATTTTTTGAAAGTCTGCTTAGTATGTAAGCACAGAGAGATAAGCCTTAACATGAGCTACCAAACTCAAGCAGGATGATGAGTTTTTCCTGTTAGCTTCCTACAGCATCACCATCCAGTTTTCCACAAGAACTCAAAATCCACGCGATCCCCCTTAAAAGCCAGTTGTTAAGACCTGATATCCCTAATACTAAAAAAAAAAATTAAATTACATTTTTAGGTTGCTCCTTAATGTTTTGTTAAAATTCCTTTTGGAAAGGCCTCTTACCTTGGCAATGAAGCTGAGTACTTTGGTAAACAATTTCAGTTGAATTCATAAATGATAAAATATTGAAAAATAAATTCTAGCAAAAGTTCAATTATGCAGGAGGTCTATGCTTTAGAAACTAATAATTTGCAAGCAAAAATGAATTACCAGCAGAAGAGAAGAAGGAAGAAGCAGCTGAAATAAGGTGATGGGTTGCCAGGGAAGAAAGAGTAATGAGCAGTGAAGCTAAAAACATAAGGAAGGCCTAGAGAGGAGAAAAGGAAGAGTGTTAAGGGGAAAAAAAGGAAATAAGCTTATTACTAAGCAAGTTACAAGTCAAGGAAAAATATGAAAAGAGTACCTGCAGGTAAAATAAGCCAACAAGAGTTTAAAAAAGTGTAATGATTACATAGATACCAGGAAAAGGAATTACCTCACCCATCCAGGTGCTCTATTATCAGCACAGACACAGGAGACCAGGAACAATTTATTATGTTATCAAAAAGTAGGACTTCTAAGAGAAGATGATAAAAGTGTCATGACCTCCTCTGGCCAAGGAAGCAGAATTTAAAGAAAGGTATTATGGACTTTTGAATGAAGTAATAATGCAAGTGCTCATGGCCTTGCCTTAAGAGGAAAAAAAAGGTCCTAGATTCCATTGTTAAAATTTGCATGCATGTGGGTTCCTGCCCAGTGACTAGGGGTAATGTTCTGCTTTCACATATGCTTTCTTTTGTCTATTAGAGAGGAAAGAAAAGGGGATGGAAAAATCCTACCATTCACACACTTACTCCATGTTAATGATAACAGTTACAATAGTGTGTATACACTAATTTTATACTATTAAAACAGAGATATAGAAATTCAGAGGTCTCCCTTGGCAGCAAGAATTAATGTTGGAAGTATTAACACTGAAAGATAATATTCAAATGTATTTTTTACACCCCTAAGCTTTGTAGCCAACACTGTATCAAGCTACTTCAGTGTTTCCACAACTGCAGCATGCTGAAGGATTCACACTTAACCTGATCTCCAACTGCCACAGAAAGACTGCTGATATGAAACAGAAACAGAAATAGAAATGTCAGATAAAAGGTATGGACCTTAAAGTATTACTTCATATGACATAAAATGCAAGTTAGGGAAGACAACAAGTAGAAGCACTAGTAAAAACAAAAACAACAAAACAAACTTAAAAATACTACACTTTTAAAAACCAGGAAGTGACCTACTCCTGGCAGAGGAAAATGCAAAATTATGGGAAAACAACTAAACAAAACAGTCAGTCCTCTAGTTATAATGCATTAGTTGTGATAATAACTCTGATAAAGAACAGAGGAAGTATGCAAAACAAATTTTCCATTTGGACAAATACCAGACAATTTGCAAGTGGAGTTACCTATTAGCACTATCATTTGCTGCTTGGATGCTGCTGTCTATTTGCAGGACTGTTTTATAATCGACGTATGCCTGGCGATATCGCTCCATAGACTCACTGGCCATTGCTCGGCGTAGAAGAGGCTTCAGGGAAAATGGCTGAAGCTCCAGAGCTCTGGAGAAAACAAAAGGAAAATGCAAAAATTGAAACAGAATAACTAATATTAAAAAACTATTTTACAATATGCACAACTATGCATCACTTTGTGATTTCAGATGGGCCTTACAGTAACATAATTAATGAAAATGAGACTAAGTGGTTCATATTGATACCCCAAATTACATGCAGTTTTGGAATTGTTAGTAAGCTTTTACCACAGCTTATTCAAATGCAAATCCCTGTCTTCCATTTGGAAAATTGCTCTCATCACCAAGCTATGATTAATGTAAAGTTTAAGAGCAAAAGCTCTTTTTCTTACGTCATGTCTCGATCTACAAGGATTTCAAGTACATAGTGCTTTTGCACACATGACTTTCAGTTCTTCTTTCTTACATGAAATTATGCATGTAAAAAATACATTCGGTAAGACATGAACATACACCTGTCTGTCTTTGGTTTGGAGGTTTTTGCCTGCCTTTTGTCTGTTTACTCTTCCTATTGTCTGCCTGGTCAACACTGAGCTCAATCCCTGACACTGTGCAATCGGAAGTCCTTCCCAGCACCACGTATTTTTGCAGCAATATGAAGAAGCAATCCACAAAGGCTTTATTTCTTAAAGACTACCTTTTTTTAACCTGTGATTCTTGCTAAAGAGAATTAGAGATAAACCTTGAAATACTGAAAATAAAATGAGTTCAATTAGATTTCCTGGAGTCATAAAGTAATTCAGGCTGAGATGCCCTGGGTCCAACTTTCTGCTACAGGGAGGGTCAGCTCTGAGATCAGACAAGGTTGCTCAGGACTTTATACAGCTGGGCCTTGAAATCCTCCAGGGGAATCTCTGCACAACATCTCTGGGCAACCTGTTGCACTGCCCCTCACTGTGCATGGGGAGAAGGTTACCCCAAATACACAGCCCCAAACATTGTGTGATTCTGTTTTTGCCTGTTGCCCCTTGTCCTCCCACAACACTGCCAGAAGAAGGCAGGATCCATCCTCTGGATGATCTCCTCACAGGTACTGGCAGGCTGCTGCTAGGACCCCTGGAAGCCATTCTCTTCTAAACTGAACAAACCCAGCTCACACAGTCTGTCCTCTCCAGGTATGTGCTCTGCAGTACACAACCACCTCTGTGACAGTTCACTGAACTCACACCAGGTGATCACTGTCTTTCTTGTACTGGGGAAGCTGAAAAGCAACATAGTTATCATAATGTTGTCTAACAAGTGCTGAGTACAAGGGATTAATCACTTCCCTCAATCCACTGGCTGTGCTCTGTTTATAAACCCAGCAGGCTGTTGGCCTTCTCTGCTGCAAATTGGCTTTGCACCATTGCTCCTCTTAAAGCTAGAGAAACTATTGATTTCTAGACTAAACATTTCCAATTTCAGTATCATAAATACTTCCAGTGCTCAATTTCTCTTTATGTTGCTGAGTGCGTTTGAAAAATGCAACAAAACATCTGCAAAAAATGCTTAACATTCTGTAACTCAGAAGAATATTAACACTGTATCAGGTTTCTAACATCAAGAATGAAGGGAAAAAATAACCATCAATAAATCTTCACTACTTGAAGAATAGCATCGGTGGGAATGGAAAATTGCATTTCCAGGGCAGAATGCAAAGCTACTACCGGCAGGGACCAAACCACACCACAGTGCTAAATAAATCACCATTAGTGCACAGGAGCCCTATTTCACCCTCTGTAACAAGAGTCAGAAGCACTCCAAATCACAGGCTTGAGACAGAGGTACAACACAGGGGTTTTTATACACTTCTAAGTCCTAAACAGCTGAAACTTAATAAAGGGCAAATATTCAATACTTATTTTCATATCACAAATATCAGCACTACATAATTTTTTTATTTTGAAATCAAGTACCTTATTTGCAGATCATCCTTTATGTTGTACTGCCTAGAGATTTATTTGACATTGCCTAATCTGTCTGTGTTTGCAGTTTTGCAGTTCTCCTTCCCAGTCCCTAAATTATTTCTACCTCTGCATTATTTCTACCACTAAGCATCATGGGCCCCTGTGTATCCAGAAAATAAGCATGGCATTAAGGACACTAGCATTAGGTAGTAGGAAAATAAGCTTTCAATTGGTAAGAACACAAAGCCCAAAACCTTTGTATTACTGATTTCAGCTGGTCTTAAACATACTTCAGACCTCTGAACAGAAAATTGTGATGGCTCCCTCAGTGTGCCATCTCATTTTAAAGGCCAGCTGTCTGTGGTCCTGCACCTCTTTTAACAAATGATTACTAAAAGTCATTTATTTCAGAAAACTTTTCTGTCAGGGAGAATATACACACAAATGATTACTAAAAGTCATTTATTTCAGAAAACTTTTCTGTCAGGGAGAATATACACACTAAGATAAGTATTTTGTTACCAAGAAGGTACATGTGTATTTTATTTTTAGTTCTGGAGGGTTACTTTAACAGTTCAGTTGTGCTGTACTAAAACTCATCTGATTAATTAATATAATTTCTAACTGTTTAAGGGTACTTTTTTGCTCCTTAAGCTTCAGCTTTACCAACAAAAATATTTTTTAAAAAATTAATCAGGAATATAATAATAATTTAGTGGACGACAGTGCTTGGAAGTTATTGAAGATGCCTAATCTTCTCTAACTCCTGTATCCTTACAAACCACAACAAGCAGAAACCTCAATTCCTGAACAGCTGTAATTACTGTTTATAAGTATGCTAAGTATATATTAACAAACCCCAAACTAAAACAACAAACCAAACAGAGAACACACAAATATACACCATACACATGCTTGAAAGCAATTTCCAACACTGTAATAAGCATTTGCCTTAACAAAGCTTTTACATATGTTACTGCAGAAGCCCATTGTAAGCCTGCTTTTGTATTAAAAATTTTAATCCTGCTATGCAGTTCTGTGTACACAAGAAGCTTAAAAACTGCCCTTACACAGTAAAACTAAGTTGAAAGTTACTCCTTCCCTAATTTCCATGTGGTTGTTTACATAACTGACAAGGGTATCTGTCATTCAGACAGGGAATCAGACTTCACTGATACTGTCATGAGTCAAACTGCAATACTCACGTACCAGTTATAATGTTTAATCATCATCAGGAATGTTGTTGCACTACATGGGAGGATGAAATTTACCTGTTACAATCCTGAATGCAGTCACTGCAGTTCCCTTCTTTGAGGTAACATGCTGCTCTGTTTGAGTACAAGACACTTAAATCATCTGGACTCTGTTCTCCTAAAAGAAATCAGAATTAAAACCACAGACCATTACTAAAATGACACTCAAGAATTAAAGACTTGCGTACTCCAAGTTGCACTGCAGTGATGCAGTTTGCTGACAGTGCAAAGCTGTAAGGAGATTTCCTTTATCACCTCACCCAGAACATGTAATTACTCAACATAAATAAATGCCACCAGCTCTGCTCCAAATAAGTTAGAACATTATTTCACTCATCTTCCCCTATTTTCTGTCACGTGAATTCTTCACTGAACTGACAAAGAATTTACTGCACAGTAACCCCTGCCAAAATCCAGGGACAGGCTAAGTTCGTTCATTTGCAGCTCCTTCAAATCATCTAAACAGTCCTAGATTTAAGTCTAAGGAATTACACTCACCTAGTCCAAGGACGTGCTCAATTGCTTCCGAATATTTGAGCACGGCTTCTCCGAACTGTCCATTCTTAAACAACTCGTTTCCTTCACTTTTCAGTTTCGCTGCAGTGGGAGGAAGCGAAGTGGGGCTGGCACCCCCAGCCGACCCGGAGCTCTGCCCGCGCTGGGGGCTC